CTTCTAGACATAACAAATGTCACACTTCGTGCGATGTTTCTTAATATCACTATTATAGAGCAAGCCCATTTCATGATAGCATTGGACGGTTGGTTCGGATAGAGGTCTAATTTTTTTAGCACTGGTTTCTGAAGTTAGAGATCAATCTATAATCCTGAGAAAAAAAATTGTACTCAATTTAGTTGACTGCAAGGAAGCGCTTCCCCCTGGCCTCCGCTTCTCTGCGAACACTGGTGCAATGCGGGAAATCTGTGCCCTGCAGCATTGGTGCAAAATAGTAAGCTTGACATGAGTGTCTCATTGCAAGCACCACAGATCGGAGAGGCATGTGGTTGGTTCTGGAAGTTCAGAGGCTGATGTGACCAGCATGATCGGTAAATAAATTTTATCTGGGATCAGCGAGCGCTCGTGAGATACATTTTTCTCTTTGAAGGCTGGGCCTGCCTACATTAAAACATCTTCATTTGTGCTCAGTTATTTTAATTAGGGGCCTACTCATATATTTTGCGTTCCAGAAAATATGGTAGGGTGATTATTTCATTTGCCATTGTATTCTCCCCACCCTTCTCATTTTTTGTCATAGAGGGGTCCCTGTTACTTTTACCATACCAGAAGAGTTGCCCCCAGCCATGAGTGTTTTAGAACCACTCTCCTAATAGATTTATCATGTTTGTGGGAGTGTGAATGTGCTTGATGCATGGCCTTTATGATTTGTATGTATGGGAACCTTAGTTTGTATGCATATGAACCTTAGATGTGCAGTGTTCCTACTCCATATGTTCTCTATTTTCTGCGTGCTCGTCGTTGACTAGTGTAAGGGGCCAGAAGACCAGTCAAGCTGCGCGCTGCAGCTTTCTTCCTTGAGTCTCCATCAAAATTAATTAAATAGTTATTAAGTTATTACAATTATTATTATTATTATTATTATTATTATTATTTTCTCTATTTCTTTTTTTTCTTCTTTTTCCGGAACAGCCAAAAAAAGCTCAATGTGTTCATCTATTCCTAACTCGAACCCTGCTTCCGCTTTTCTCCCTTACATGACAGAAAACAACTTAGAATCTATAATACTGAGCCTCAAATTGAACAAATCCCCTGGAATAGATAACATACGCATTAGTGATCTTCGAAGAAATTTCACTTACATTAAGGATACACTGCTTTTACTTTTCAACAATATAATAGAGACTGGTATCATACCCCGTGAATTAAAAACTGCTGTTGTCAAACCCCTATTTAAGGGAGGTCAAAGAAGTAAGGTAGAAAACTATCGCCCAATATCTATTTTGCCATGTCTGGCACAAATATTAGAAAAATATATTTATATGACGATGGCATCCTTTATTGATAAATATAAGATTATGTCTCCGAGTCAGTATGGCTTTATAGCTGGCCAAGGAACACAACCTCTCTTGGACACGTTTTCTGATGACTTAAATTACGGCTTTGAGAATAACTTGTTCACTTGCGCATGCTTCCTTGACGTGTCAAAAGCGTTTGATACTGTTAATCACTCTATACTACTTAGCAAAATTTCAGCCATAGGATTTCGTGGACCTTTCTTGTCACTTTTAGAAGATTTTCTGCTTGGGCGCGCACAGTTGGTTTCGGTGAACAATGTGCAAAGTTCCACAGTTAGTTTAAAATCTGGCGTTCCGAAAGGGTTTGTTCTTTCTCCACTATTGTTTAACATCTATGCCAATGACTTATATAGCGTGGTTTCAAACTGCATTATTAACCAATATGCAGACGACACCCTTTTATTAACACGTCATACTTCCTACCCAGAAGCGCTTCAGATGCTCCAGCAATCCTCCAACAAAGTCATGGACTGGTTTTCTCGGAACTTGATTTCTATAAATGTGTCGAAAACAAAACTCGTCTGCTTTCGCAATCCCTTGAGAGTAGTGTCCTTAAATATTCCTTTTTTGCTACACACATCAAACTGTAGCTCGTGCCACTGTGCTGAAGTGCAGTATTCCGACTCTGTAAAATATCTTGGTATACACTTCGACTCCGACCTTTCGTGGAATTTTTATCTAACGAAAATATGTTCGAAGTTGAGAAGCGTTTCTTGTCTGCTTTATAACATCAAAACTTTCATGCCCCTCGGCTTACGCAAACGCGTTGCCTATTCGTTAGCCTATAGTCACCTGCGCTATGGTATAACTCTTTTCGGTTCATGCTCGAATTTATGGCAAACGAAAATAGACAATATCTTAAAGGGGATTTTGAAAAACGTGTGCTATAACCTCAATTATTTTCATTTAGACCTTTTTGAGACATTGTTAATGCCGAACTTTAGATCTCTTTTTTTAGAAACAGTTGTGATCAATCACTACTGGTCTGACGACTTTAAATCTCCTCTTCTCGTCTCACGGCAGCTACAGAACGTTTCCAAATATCTCGTCCCGAAATGCTACACACGGTATGGCGAAACTATGCGTTCATTCTACGTTCCAGACATTTTTAATCAATTACCATCAGATCTCCGGAACCTTACGTCTAAGAAAAAACTAAAAAAGCGCCTCCGTCATATGGATATACTAAAAGAAAAAGGATAACTGTCTTTTTTTTCACATTTCTGTGGAGTATGTTTTTGTGTCTAGGAGAGACTCATCGCGTGGTATTTCTGTCCCTCATATTTTGTTTCGATCTTTGAATGTGCTGTGAACAGACGTGCCGTGTGAGTCCGCCCTTTTTTGTTCATTCTGCTAGACTCCTCATCCCGAAGATCTGTGCCTCAAAGTTTTGTGTCGATATTTTTTTTAATGTCCTATGACCAGACGGACAAACCAATTTTAACTCTTTTTTTCTCCTGTTTTCTTCAAATAATTTATATTGATTAGTTCCGCTGAAGTGGACATTTACTGTGTACTTCTAGTGTCTTAACGTTTTTTTTGTGTTTTTTTCCCCTTTTTTGTTTTTTTTTTCTTTCTGACCGATTATGTTACCAATTCTACCCAAAAGGGTTCAGTCACACAAGCCCATGTCGGCTTTGACGAACCTGACAGCTTCATGAGTATAGTCCTCGAAAATAAATGTATTATTATTATTATTATTATTATTATTATTGTTTATTATTACTATACTTCAATGTACAGCTATTTCTCCCCTCTTTTTCTTGTCTAGCTGGGCGTGATAGACGAAATCCGACACTGAACGTGAGAACAGTGGCAAAACTTCATAGGATATCCATTTTGACTGAAGCCTTTGAGGACCCTAAATAAAGCACTCCAAGGTGACTAAACTTTTTTTATTTTCATACCACTTCTTCGGATGCAATAATGTCTTCAGTGATTAACACAAAATAAGACACCCAAAAACATTTTTTAAATAACAATGTTCTTGTTGTTTCTTTACAAAATGCATACTTGAGTTCACCTCCTTACAGATGGTTTTGTGTGTACACGTTTGCAAGTACGACCCCTGGGCTCCGCCATCCTGCCTGTTGGGGTGCATATTGGACGCACCATAATTTGATTACAATGCCTTGCTAAGACGCCGTAATCGGACTATAGTGCACCCCAGAGCGCACCCCAGCTAGCAAGATGGCGTCACCCAGGGGCCGTGCTTGCAACTAATTAAGGAGCAATTTTCGTTGCCTCTTTACGGAAGATCTAAATTCGCCAATTAAGGAGCATATTCCGTTTGAACCTCTACAAAAAATTCCGTAAATGTTAGAACTTAAAGGTGTCCGTATTTTAGCAGACCCCTCACTAAATTGGGTTACGGATGAATTCACCCCACTAAATTGGATTACGGAGAAATTCTCGGGCAGCACTTTTCGCCATAGAATTTCTCCGTAAAAAAAGAGGTGATTTTTTTTACAGTGTGCACAGTGAAAGTGTTCACCGCTTGCAATGTGCGTTAACGCTGCGATCTGCTCAACGCTAAGCCTATTCGCACAGTTCATCGCCGACGGACGAACGACTCTTCGAGAAGTAGCCGGAGTTCTCGCTATGCACTGGGCATCAGTAGGTAATGCATTTCATTCCGCGATAGTATTGATGAAAGGTGCCGTTTTTACGGAACGATTGACGGAGGCTAGCTCCGTGACGGTATTTGCCAACGCACTCGTACTGTAGCCCCGTTACCCCGCAGAAAAACGCGTTTGACGCAGGAGCTGGGGCTTAGTTTAGCTTAAAATAAAATGATTGGACACGTTTTCATTTTCAATATTTCTTTTCAGGGCCATGGTAGTTTTATAAGCACGCGGAATTCTACGGCTCTGGCAAATTTAACAAGATCATGCGAGTTGTTCACTCGGACACGTAACGCACAACTAAATTCGGTCCAAGTGGGTCGTTTTTAGCGTACGCTGTATTATTGCGTATTGCGTACGTAAGAGCCAGCAACGCTATACTAAAACTGCCTAATGTTAGATGCGTGTAATGTCACGTAACGTCACGTGACGTCACACGCGACATCATACGTCACGTGTTTCCTATAATGACGTCACGTGTGACGTCACGAAAGTAACCTTCGTGAGGGTAACTGTCGTGAGGGTAACTCTCGTGACCCTCGTGAGGGTAACCCCCGTAACCTTCGTGAGGATAAACCTATGACCCTCGTGAGGGTAACCCTCGTGACCCTCTAGGGGAACCCTTCTAACCTTCCTGAGAGTAACTCTCGTAACACTCACGGGGTTTACCCTCGTGGCGTCATTATGGGGAACGTCCCATAATGCAACGCGCGGTAACGCCGTTGCAGACGCCGACGACACCACTCAAGGCGGAGACAGGCGCCTAAGAGCTGCTCTCTAAAATGATCCGTAACATGATCTGCACTGTAAAATTATGTTATCAAAAAAGGTAAAAACAATAGTCTTGAAAGGACGTCCAAATATGAAAAAAAGGAATCAAATTAACTGTTTGACACATTTCTCCTTCTGACATCTTGGATTTTTGTTTTATGAAACTGAATATTGGAGAAAGTTTTTTGTTAAAAGTATTTACAAGTTTAGTCAAATTCGATTGAAATCACACTGAACGTTGTTGTCACGGAGCCTTTATTGATTCATTTTCGACTGTAGGCGATCTTGACGATAACGTTTTCTTGAAAGGATCACAACGCGGAATACACTTGCCTCTGAAGCACATCTGCGAAAAGGAAACAATCTTAAATTTGAGTGAAATATTTTGAGGGGAGTTAATATTTAAGCCTAGTATAGGTTTCCCAATCGTTCATGAGGTCAAATATAAATAATATTTTATTGCCATAAAAAAAAGATGTGGGCCTCCTAGGGAAAGCGCTTTGTGAAACGAAGGCATATTTTTAAATTAAGACTAATATTTTTTTTCAGTAAGCACAAGAAGTGGCTGATGATTCGTTTTAAATCATAACGGAAATCAAAGGTACGCAACCTCGATAATTGTGTTATAAAAGCGCGCACCATTACCTACCGAAAACTCTCCGTGCAACTTTAGACTCTAAAACTTTGTCTGAATAATCATTCTACGCAATCGCTCAAATACACACTTCATACTACGCTGAATGACCTATAATCAATAACCATCAGCAACGCGACAATTGGTATCATTACCCTTGTGGTTAATTTTAGTGCTCTGGTTGTTCATTTCTAATGGTTTATTTTGGTGCACTGCCATGCACGCAAAGAACACACACTGCGTGAGAATTTTAACAAAAAGTAACGAATAAATACTTCGTGTGTCCCTTGTTTATTTTGTGTGTTAGCTCCCTTTAACTAAGATAAATTTGCCGCGATAGCCACTGGAAAAAAGAGAAGATCGCGGGGAAATAAAAAGGCCGGATCAGTTCGATCTCGTAATTCATCAGACGTAGTCGCTTTTCGTCTGTCTCTCTAGATTGGTGAACCGGACGTAATGTTCACCTTGATCACCGACCCGTACTGGGCAAACAGTTGCCACAGCGACGTTTCGTCCGCATCGGTCCCAATGTTGTAGACAAAAAGCAGGTGGCCCTCATCGGCGCCGCTTCGCAGGGCAGCGAAGCCTGGACATGGCTGAACCGAAACTCTTGGGATGTTATGTTGGCCAGTCGGAAGTTTCCTCAGCTTGAAGAAACCAGACTTCTGGGTGCTGGGCCCAGAATGGAGGCAGGTAGGAGTAAGTGTGCAGTGAAGTGACTTTGCGGGTAGCACACACTCTTGAGCTCCTGTGTCGACCATGAACCTTAGTCCACTAATAGTGACAGTAATGTAAAAAGGCGACCTTGCTTATTTGTGGGAGCGCTTGTCGCCACTAGCGATCCCGGGTCTTGTTTTCCGACCAGCTGCAAGGTCTGGTGCAGCGTTCCGCAGCAGTTCTAAAGCGCTGGTGATACCAGCAGTGCTGTTGCTCTTGCCGCGGTTGGTTATGTCTAGGCTGACAATTCGCCTATGGCGAGAGAGAACGACGGCGGGAGCTTCTAGACTGTGAGGATCGTCTAGGGCTGCGAGGGCCTGAAAGGCGTAAGGTGCTTGCGACAAGCTCCCGTAGATGTTGCACATCTTCTCGCAGTGCTGTGATTTCATATCGAGTAACCGCGGACGCTGCTGGTGCGCGACTCGCTGGAGTGGCGGGCTCGGGGCACTATACTGATTAGCCGGTAGAAGCTGACGTGACTGTGTTACTCGCAAATTCCCTTGACTGCACACTTATTGCTACCTGCCTCCATTCTGGGCACAGCACGCAGAAGTTTGATTTCTTCAAGCACTTCAGATTCCTTCTGGAAGCTTCCCTCGGCTCGAAGAAATCAGACGTAGAAGACTTGACACGTCTGTTCGGTGACGTTCGCGCTGCACCAACGCGGACGCGCCAGAGCAAGCCTCCTGTCTTCCATCGCGACCTGCACAACAGCGGCTACGTGTTTTTGCGCGTCGATACCGTCCGCCAATAAGTCCAGCCACCTTACTCTGGTCCCCACCTCGTCGTGGCACGTGGCGAAAAAACATTCACGCTGCGGGTTAATGGCCGTGACACGCTCTTGTTTGTCGGTCAAGCCGGCATTTGTTGACAGCGACGCGATCGCTCAGGCGGCGGATCTTCCCACGGTGCAAGCTGCCTCGAGTTCAACAGTAGTACCCGGCACCCGCATCAAACAATCCAGGACGGTTCACTGAGACGACTCCGTCTCAAAGAGGGATGGGGGGCGGGGGGGGAAGGGGGGGGGGGGGAGAGGGCTATGTGGCGAAAGCCATTGAGAAAATAAGAATATCGCGTGGACATAAAAAGGCCGGATCAGTTCGATCGCGGAATTCATCAGACGTAGTCGCTTTTCGTTTGTCCCTCTACAGATTCTTACCCTTGGCTAAATAAGACATAAAAGATTTTCCACCCCTTAATTTGTAGCATTTAGCCTCCCTCAGGAAGTTTCTGTCCGTGACATGTAGTCTCAATGACGTTCCTGTGCCATGTGACGTCATGACGTCTCGTGAAACTATGACGGCACGTGACTTCATCACCGACATGCTGACACCATGTGATACTCTGACGTTACGTGAGAAAATGTCACGTAAACCCAAGACGTCACGTGACACCGTGGACGCCACGAGAGAGCGTTACGTCACGTGACTTTCAATTTAGACCAAATTATTGATCTTCATAACGTATAGGACATGCGTCTCATTCGTCTGCACAGACTAAAGGTTTCCAAAAGCACAGCAGAAAGTTGGGTTTAGCTAACAAACTATGAATCAAAGTCAATTATAAAATTTACGAAATGGAAAGCGCGTAATTGTCTGCAAGAAAAACTAGCAGGGGAGGCCAATGATCCAGGCACTTGATTTTCGCAGGGGAATCTTGATACTAAAACCGCCTATCATGCAGGGAGGTGAACTCTTCAGACAACCTTGCCAGATTGCAAACCGGCATAAGAAATTTATCTATACTTGGTGAAGTCGGTGGAAAATTAGTTGGAATCTGAATAAAAGTAATCATATGCGCTTCTCGAGAAGTCAGCCACAGATCTTCCAAAGATCCCTAACCAACAGTACCGTTTTAAGTACTGTATCTGAGAACATTTACTTAGGAATCCTATTTATAGACCCCCTAAAATGGAACTGTCATATAGAACGAACAGGAGGATAAGCTATTAGAATGCTTTTTTCGTCGAAATTTTAGATCAACGTCTCGCAACCTTAAAGAAACACTCTACTTATCTTTAGTAAGAACGAACTTAAATTACGCGTGCGCCATGTGGGACCCTAATCACGGCTTTCTTATAAACAAACTTGTGGAACATTCAAAGTCCGGCAGCTCTCTTTATACTTAACAATTGTGATACTTATGCTAGCGTTACAGAAATGAAATCTGCTCTGGGATATGAAACGCTCTAATGTAGACGAAAAAAGAAACTATGATTCATTTTTCCCACCTAGTATTTCATAACAAAAGAAAGATTATAAATCTGCACATATTTTTTGAGCCATCGTCTCCTGGCTTTTCGGTCATTTTAAGAAGGTTGCTGTACCCCGTTATAAAACTCACAGTTTGGCCAATTCATTCTTTGTTAAAATCGGGACTGAGCGCAGCGACCTTCCGGAAGAGAGTGCGTCAATTGACGGTAACAACTTGTTCTTTTCTCAGTTATTATAGAGTATTCTAAACAAAAACCAAAAAAAAACTACAATATTGCTTAGCGCGAAAATGTGGGCCCTTTGTAAATAAATAAATAAGTGAATAAGTAAGAACAGGTGTCACAGGCGGGTTGACGCTTGATTACAATTATTCTGCCGGAAAACATTTTGCGTTCGTTTCTGTGACAATTTTTGCTCCGAGAGGAATCACCAAAGCTCAACAATATCCAGAGCATACGAGTTCCTATCATTTTAAAGGTCAGCCCGTGTCGTTTAGGAAAATTGAGGCATAAGCCGGTGGATCGTAATCTCATAGCTCTGGCCACGATCAAGTGGCTGACGATTGAACTGCACTCGATAAATTGCGCATCTACAGCTAAGAGACAATTGTCGCTCTTTGGGCAGACAGACTTTACGCCGTATTAACATACATAACAACATACGATATTCAATTTATACCCGAATGTTCCGTGACAGTGAAGTGACGGAAATCAAAGTCCAAAGTACTCCTAGTCTTTTAGAAATCTCAGCTATTACGTATAATTAGCGAAGTCGAGAATAACCGTTTCGTTTCTTTATAACGTAAGCAACTCGTCGTTCCTTAAACCACGTTCTTCAATGGTTTCATCGCTGAACTACAACCAAATACCTGGGCGAAGGACATTTATCTGAAAAAAACATAGTAGTGAGGCGTTATTTTGTCATGTGTCCTAGGAATACACGAAAATTTGAAAACTGGTTATTTGATATAAAGCTGTATAAAACGCAAGTCGATTGCATCGTGGTCCGCACTCACCATTCCATCTCCGCAAGACATTCCATCTAAAGCGATTTCTGTAAAGCACTTGAAATCTTTCGGAGAACAGCATTTGAAGGGGCAGACTGTGTCCATATTTATGTCCTGGTAATTGAATTACCAAAACGTGAGTTACGAAATCAAGCACGCAAACAACGAGTTTTTTTTTTTTTCTTTTATTTTTGCATTTTACGTGCGGATTCTAGATTTAGAAATAACTGATGCATCATTATAAAACAAATTATAACACTTTTTTTAGCCCGAGCTGATAGTGCATTTAGGCCCAGCGACTCAGTCAATGGTACCATGAACGTTTCTTGCTTTAAACAACCGTGTTTCAATATAAACTATGCGCACTCGTGTGATACAAAAGCTCAAATAAGCTTTGACCTATATATTTTGACATTAAATGATATAAAACTGATGCTGATGGCGGCGTGAACTGTACTTACCCTTTCCTCGCTGCATGAGCTTTTCCTTTTCTTTTCGTCATAATAACACTTAACCCTACCACCAGGGCAGCAATCGATTGTGCATTGGTTCATTTTATCCTGTTTGCAACGTAAACATATGTGTTTCAAAACTAAGCTCACAATACCCAAGTTTAAGGTTTCTCCATTAAATACGCAGTTCTATTGATTTATATAAACTAGCTTTATAATGTTATGAGTAGAAATCCTTGAGGTTAGATGTTACAGATAGGTTTGGTTCTACACATTAAAAACTAATTTTGACTGTAAACAAAATGGTTAATAAAATTATAAATTCTTAATTTCTACTTCAGAGTGCATTGCGATTTTAATGTTGCGTTCAAACTTAGTGTTCCAAAGGAGAAAACTTCAAGACCTGCGGGACGGCAGGCGGACTGGTTCCAAACTCAAACTTTGAGTTGAGAGAAAAAAAAAAAAAAAAACAGTTGCGATTATGTTTTTTTTTTTTACATTTAATTTTAATATATTTAGTAGTGATTAGTCTTATTGAAGCTGGCTGAAAAAACGACGTTTCTAGATAAGTAATAGCATTAGTCAAACTCCCTCTCAATCGGCACGAACACACTGAAGCCTAAAAATGTATTTGCAGCAGTAAAAAACTACTAAATATGTCTTGTTTCCTACTAGTTGTTTCATCTCAGTATTTCGTTAGATGCCGCAAACCGAACAGTTTGACATTATGCAAAAGTTGAGAATCAAATGCAGTGAGAGGAATGGACATCTAATATCTTCATAGCATAACCGTATCAATATACAAAATACGAGACCTATCTCACGAAATCAATCTTTTAGATTTCTATAAATCTTTCCACTACATCTGTACGTAATGTATGCACCATTTTTACCTTACAATATTACTAATTTAGTATTTAATTTTGATCCTTAATAGACCAGAGGGATTTTACTCTGTGCACGTGGGAGGAAGATTTTCTATATTCCGTTTTGTAGTCCCACATGCAAATATGGCCTGCTCATGTTTATTTCTTTGCAGACGAAGTTGTAGGGAATTTTTACTTTGTCTGAGTAGTGACCTGGATCAAGCGGCCCAGTGAAATTTTAAACTTTGAATAACTCTTTATAACAATTACTTTCGCTTTTCTACAGAACACTTCAGCTGAAATCGTTTTGTTCCTAACCAATCGTTTACGAAAACCATTTAATCAGCTCAAACACTAACTTCATCTTTCAAGACGGCAGAATAATACAAAAGGAAAGAAAAAAATTACTTTCATATTTTAAGACCAAACCCCGAAACGGGAGAATCCAAGGACAATCCAACACATTGTCTCAAATACAGCTGAATTTATTTCAGGATTTATATGAGATTGAGCTACCCTCAACAGACCAAAAAGGTAAGAGGACGAAAACATAAACCCTCTTTCCAAAAATGTATAAGTGGCTGTCCGTTGTTACGTAACTCCTGCGCGTTGAATTATGAGGGAAATATCTCTCACGCCCAATTTAACAGGCTATGCTAATTTGGTGCGTGTCGAAGTTTGGTGGCAATTACAAGCATGTCCTCTCCGTCACATGCTCTTTCGCTTGTGGCGCTTCACTCCCGTTGGCTGGCCTAATCGATCATGTTTCACAGTAGCAATCAACGGCGCCGTCATCGGAATGTATTTGCGGTATGAGTTCCGCTAAATAAAACGTTGCATCAAGATTTACAGACGCAAAGACGGACTTTAAGAATGTCGAGTTTGTCTTGAATGACCCAGGTACTGCAGCAACTTTTATTCCATATCCTCTGAGAAGATGAGGACGGCAGGGAGGGGCTTCGGTTGTCCCGCCTTAAAGGCCGACGAATATACTCGGGATTCTGCAAGGCAGAAGGTCCTCCTCACCATGGGGAAGGAGGAAACAGGCAACGGTGGGAAGGGTAAAAGGGGGAGAGAAGGAAGCGGGGGAAAGGTGGAAAGCGCGAACTGGTCGTCGGTCTTTAAGCACAAACTTCCCAGCTTCCATAACGCGTCGGTGTTCCGTGTGTCTCAAGCGTGCACGCGCAGCCAAAACACAGCGAGAGGGAACGAGGGCGTGCTGGAGGCAGGCTATTCCAGAGAGCCGCCCTGTCGTCCTTTTTTAGTCATATACTGTTATAGTCAATCATACCTCTTTTGCGGTTATGTTACAAAAATTCGGATGTTTGAGCTTGCAGTAATCAATTGAGTTCATATTTATCCCTGGGAGCTCTGCTGTGTTTGCATCGTAAGGTTTGTTCTTTGAATTTACTTTCTTGCAGTCTTCACCTAACTTGCTGAAAAAAAGTAGAAAGAAATTTTAGGGACACCTTTTGAAGTTAAGGCTCTTTGTAAAAGATTGAAAAAAACTGGTCCCCTGCCCGCTCCCGCGTTAGCACTGCAGGCTTAAACGAATTGTAATAAAAATGAATTGGATCGTGTGATCAAGTGGAAATTTTCATGAAAAAGCGAATTGGAATTAAGTGGGGATAAATGAAACCAACTATTGGAACAGCCAGTGGAACGGCCCGGGAAAACCAACCGGCACTCAAAGTACCCGCATGCTCGACTCACTGTCCAGCTCCGCTAGTAAGACACGAGCGTGTCTCACAGCGGGTCCGACGGTCACTGCTTGGCAACCATGGACCAAACTGCCCCGTCGCAGTGATGAGCTTTATATCTCTCGGCTCCCCTGGAGACCACCTCCGCCATCATGCGGGGCGCCTCCCACCTTGGGGAGATTCGAGAGGCACCACCTTTATGTCAACCTTCCCCTTTTAGGGATGCCCCGACAGGATCTTCACGCGACGTCACGTCCCGCGTCACACGTCACGATCTCACGTGTTCCGCTCCACGTCATACGCCCCACATGTTTTCTCATCCAGGCGTTTCACGTCATGCGGCCTCACGCCGTCCCCACGTCTCACGCCACACGTTACACACCGCACTCCCCGCCTCAGGGGCTCCGTCCTCCAGCGGGGAAAGCTAAGGTTGGCTATGCCCTCGTTGTCCCCCCTGTCCACATGAGGGACCCCATTGCTAGGGTTCCCCACCCCAGAATTTTTAGGGACAATAGTTTTTTCTTTGATTTTATACCTTGAACCATCAAAAAATTTAATTTTTAAAGCGAACAGGTAGGTTATCGACAAACTGAGTTGACATTTATATGTGATTACATTCAGGCCCTCTAAATAATACAATACGCTTCTACTTGTAAGTTCACCCGATTCGTGATTGAGTTATTCCACTTCCGCCACTCACTGGTAGGTCAACAGAGCGGCTTTATAAAAAGCAGATTTCATTTGATATCGCTCATATTAAAAATGTCTCGCACTGCACTGTGTCCATGTGTAAACAATATTTTTTTTTTTTTCTGCTTAGATGTGCTATATGTTTTGCCGCAGCCCACATACACTAACCTAGACTAGTCTTTTGGGGCTTCTAGCAGAAAAGTAAAAAGTTATAATTTTAAAACTAATTAACAGAGTTCAGAATCGCGTCTGCTGGCGATCTTTGAAGCTCTGTTGTAATGCTACCACGTCAGGATTTTCTAAGAAATAGCGCCAGTTCGCGGCAGTATGGCTCGCTCGTGGAGTTACTTATAGCGAGTTCGTTTCACACGCACTGGCACCGTTCGAGTTCTCTCCCAGAATGCATCGCACTCACAGAGTGTTGCGCGGAAAACTGGACTCAAACGAACTCGCCAAATGCACCGAGTGCAGAAGACTGATGCTGCCGCCATCTATGTAGTAGAAAAGGTACCGACTTCAAACCGAAACTAGCGCCTTTCTGTTCCGAGTGATCCGTGGGAATGCGAGAATGCAGTCGCTGCCAACATTTATCTACAAACGTTGGCAACTGCAAGCTGTAGTTTATAGTTGCGATGTCTTCAAGCAGCTCGGCTGCCGTAGAGATAGTTACAGACGGCGTAAATTTCCGAAACCAGCTGTCCACAAAGCAGCTGGTTGCGATCTTTCAATCCTTATAACCGTTTACACTGAAGAAAACTGATGATGCTGTCCGAGCAGAAGCTTGATCCGTTTGAGCATGGTATTATGCGTGAACCACTGAAGGGGTACGGCTTAAAACTAGCCTGTTGGAATATCCAGCAAAACTGGGACTTTCGATTTGGATCGTCATTGTGGATTAGATATTAGCCTTGGTGAAGGCGTCGAGAACGAGAGCTTTCTCGAACAAAATACGACGGGGCAAGTTAGCTGCGTAGGTAAATGTTAAACATGATGATGTTGCCCCATCCTCGGGTAAAGTCACCATCTTTAGCTTTCTCTGCTGCTTATTGGGCAGTCAGAGGTTTCTGCTGGAAGAGTTTTATCGAAAAATGTTAAATTTTTCACCCGCACACGGATGGTGATAGACATCTCGGGGGCCGCTGTTGCGTTTGTTCTGAGCATTTCTTTACACACTGGTATATTTCAGCGTTCGTGCGGCAACAGAGCGATTTAAAACCTGCAAATAAATCACGGGTTGTCAATTGCTTTCTTCGTGAAATAGCAGACGCTCACAAATCAAGCTGGCGTTTGATTTCGTTGCCCGCGGAACGCGATTTCTATTAGAAAATCTACTTTTTTTTCCTTTCGGTTCCGCGACACATCGTAGCAGACGAACCCTCGTCGTCTGCTCCCGCTCCTCGCCGGCCCCGCCGGAGCGAGGCATGACGGGAGTGCATTTTGGCGCACTCCCGATTTTCTCGGTGCAGCGAGTGCATGCACGCGTGGGGTGCCAGCGCTGAAACGAACTCGGAGAGTGCAACCACTCGTGAAGCGCCGGCCGAAACGAACGCGTTCCACGCTGCGAGTGGGCACGCGTGGGCACGAGTGCCGTGAAACGAACTCGCTATTAGTCGTGAATGTGACTTGACGAAGGACGCTAACGCAATTACTATGCCCTGTTCACCCTTAGTTTGAGACAACACCCAAATCTACAAGCGCGAACTAGCCCGCGCTCCAGGCTTCGAGGCGTTAACTTCTAGCGCGAGTGCTCGCTCTGCGGAAGAACGCTGCAAGGCAACGGCCTCGAGCTATCGTGCTTGTAGCATTAGCTGGAGTCTCAGCGTAAGGGTGAACGGAGAGCACGTTGTATACACTTCTGCCACATCGGCGTAGCCATCTTGAATGTCCTCACTTCTGGTAAGCGTTAAAACATCGGTTTGATCTCTTCACGTCGCAGGAAGGTGTTCACGAAAAAGGCGTGATTGTCAAGCATTCTTGTTTTGCCTCACCTATATTTTCTCACAAGTTACATGTTGAAATGTATATTTTCCGTCCTACATACTAGATACGGAAGCCGCGTAACTGAGAACGAAAGGAAATGAAACACGTCGATTATGTTAAAACTCGCGAAGTGCTTCCGCAACGTTCATTCCACACCATCAAGATCGCTATTCTTTTGCAAACGTTATGTAGGAGCTTGATCTGAGAACACGGGGACCTCTGCCATGGCAACCAATTCACCGCCCCCATACCCTTCTCTTTTCTGTATGCGCTGTAAATGGCTCGCTCAAATATGGCACCCAGTGAGTATACCTTATATAGGTGGTATTCACTGGACGCCATATTTGAGGGCGTTGTTTAAAGCGCATGCTCAGAACGAGCTTACATTAATAGCCTCCGAAGACCGGCAACCTTGATGGTGCTAAATGCACCCTCCAAAAGGACTGCGGAAGCTCGCCATCAGCACGCGCTCAGCAGCAGCGCACACGGATATGGCCGCCAGTGAATACTTCCTATGCATAGCTAGCAGGTGTCGCCATTGCTGTGCACGGGTGGTTACGGGAACTACTATTTACTGGTTCCCTCGAGCTACTACCTCTGCGGTGTGAAGGTAACAGGGTGAATCAAACGCCCGTGGCACATGAACTACCGGCATGGACGCGAATGGCGTTACATGCAAGCTACGAATAGGCCATAAAGCGTACAGTCTTCGGATAATACTGCTCGGCGAAATTACCACGCGTTGCAAGCCATTAAGCGGCAATGCTCTCAACTACAGTACCCTGGGCGGTACTTGAACCATTGAAGTCACGAGCGGCAAAAGGCAAATGATTTCGCATACGAATGCAGGTGTTCGTGTGTGAACAATCTTTTGAATGCCGATTTTTGAGGAACTGTAAAAGTCGAAGAAACTTTAATAAAAGCAGAATTTAATGTAAAACAAAAAGCTCAATACAAATTTAGGATACAAATTCAAACCGAAAGTGAAACTTCAAATTTCATCTATAATACAATTTGCGATTAAAAACCGCAGATATAAAAAAGACCAAAATCATTTTATTCTTAGCCGACTCATGTTTGATCTGTCTTTTACGCGTTACTAAAAAAGGTTATCAATTATAAATAAATTGTCTCATGGTCTGAAAGCATTCAATGAAGGTTAGATTAGGCTATCCCGCTAGATAACAAAAATTCGTTAAATTTAATAGGAAAACCGCTCTATTGGCAACACTATTTGTAATGAATGTAACTTCCGCATTCAAAACAAGCAGATATGAACAGAAATCTATGCTTTTTTAAATTTATGTAAACTACACTAACTCCTTCGCTCGTGAGTTTTAGTTTTCTACTTTTCATGCGCAGGAGAAGATGTTTCGCCGGAATGAAGTCCCTGGCGTTGCGCTAAAATGTCGGTTTACGGTTTATGATTGCCTCTTCGTTTTATTCTTAAAGAACCTGTATGAACACCTATGAACCGGTTCAAACCGGTTCAAACTCGAGGTGTTTCTTTTTTTTTTTTTTTTGCTTTGGAGTTAAACTTGATTTGATTCCCAAAATCGTTTCGGTCCGACATCTTGATAACATCAGATAACATCCGACATCAGATTTGCGGCGCGTATTCTTCCGTGTATTAAGGCGAAGACCCTATATATATATATAGGGTCTTCGGCCTTCGCCTTAAAACACGGAAGAATGCGCGGCGCAAAACTATAAACAAGATGGCGGACCGAAAAGATTTTGGGGATCGAATCAAATTTAACTCCGAAGCAAAAAAAAAAAAAAAACATATATATATGACGATGCCCGTCGTTATCGGGCCGCTGGCGGTGGGGCTCGCTCCAGCGCTAGCTGGAGCGGGCAGGTCGGTTAAAAGATCGAGGCTGAAAACCGCTCTTGTCCTTGCTCTTGATTTCCATCGTAACATCGTGGTAGAGGTGCGGGGTATCGAGCCCCGTACCTCTCCGCACGCTAATCACCACGCTTCTCCGAAGCCATCAACGGCCCCTGCGCTGGCCATGTCACAAGGTGAAGCGGCAGGAACTCCGGCGCTCCGCCCAGGCTCAGTG